AAATAAATAAAAAGTAAACACTATAGTAGGAATCCCTTAACCAGTTTGGCAGGGTTAGGGGAAACTCAAATGTTAGATATGCAATCTCACATCCTTTTGTAATCAGTAATTTGGCAATGCCTTATCCAAATTTTAAACATCTATATTCTTTGAATAAAGTTATTCTAGGAAAGAAAGATGTGTGTGTAAGGGTAGTTATTACAGTATTTTGGTTAAATATTTTCAGGTTTATTCTTCAGCATATTTCCATAGTCCAGATATTCATCAGTAGGGTACTGGTAAAATTCTCACATATTTAAACAATGAAATACTAGTAAGTAATAATATTGTGAAATGGAAAGCTGTCTACCACATGTAGACTGTGATCCTTGTCCCTGACCTTGAGCTTACAGTCTAGCCATTTTTATTGACTACAATCCTAACTCAGTGCTTCAGACTTTATAAATATCTGTTGAAGCAGTTACTTAAAAATGTGAGCCAAGCATGGTGGCACACACCTGTAATCCCAGCAACCAGGAGGCCGAGACAGGAGGATCAAAAGTTCAAAGCCAATAAAGAAATATGAAATTATGAAAAATTGCAGGAAAATGGATAGAACTAGAGACCACTGTGTTAAGAGAAATAAACTCAGAAGGTTAAGGGTTGTAATTTTTCTCTCATGCAGAAGCTGGAGAGGGAAAAAAAAAAAGGAAAAACAGTGTGAATCTCATAAAAATCAAAGGGAGATGAGTAGAAGAAAGGGAACAAGGTGTGGGTGTTGGGGATGGAGGAGAAGTTCTAAGGGAGTGATTGTCCAAATTATATTTTTATAGTGTGTATTGTGTGCATGTACAAATATGTAACAACAAACCCCATCAGTACACAATACAACCATAATGCACTTATAAAAAAATGGAAAAAAGTTAAAGTCCAGACTGGGCAACTTAGCTTGTCTCTGTCTCAAAATATAGGGCTGGGGATGTAGCCCAGTGGTACCACATCCCTGGGCTCAATCCCAAGCACTGCATAAATAAATATTGAAAATGTGTTGTATTGGGCTAGGGTTGTAGCTCAGTGGTAGAGCACACATGAGGCACTGGGTTCGATCCCTAGTACTACATAAAATACTGGAATGATACCAAATTTAATCCTCTGTGAAGATAGGAGACTTTTTAAGTTAAACATCTACAAATTTTTATTTTCATAAAACATGTATATTGATATTTATTTTATTTGGTACTGGGGATTGATTCCGAGTATTTAACCACTGAGCCACATCCTCATTCCTTTTTTTATTTTTTATTTTGAAACAGGGTCTCAGTAAGTTGTTCATGGCCTTGCTAATTGCTGAGGTTGGCTTTGAACTTGTGATCCTCCTGCCTCAGCCTCCTGAGTCACTGGGATTACAGGCATGCATCACCATACCCAGCTAAGCATATTGATTTTTAGAATTAAAAAAGAACATTTCATTTCTTCTTTTTTTTTGTTTTTGTTTTCCCTTTTGGTACTGCAGGTTGAGAGAAGCTGAGGTACCCAGGGTTGCTCAACCACTGAGCTACATCCCCAGCCCTTTTGTTTTATATTTTATTAGAGACAGGGTCTCACTAAGTTGCTGAGACTGGCTCTGAACTCCTGATTCTTCTGCCTCAGCCTCCTGAGTCACTGGGATTACAGGCATGTGCCACCGCGCATGGTGAACATTTCCTTTTGATTTTATGCCAACCATATTGTTTTAGGGAAATAACTGACATAAAGACTTTCTGCCATTTTTTATTAATTTCTAGAAAATCGTTAGCTTGCAGTGAGGGTGGGTGGCCACTGTGATGATGGTGAAATGCCTGCAAGGAATTAGGGAATGTCTCACTCTCAGCCATTTTCTTAGCCTGCAAAGTGTAAAGGTAGGGAGGAGACAGGCTGGTTTGGTGCCTCAGGACAGCTGGTAAAAAATCATTTCAATGTGCTGTGGTTTTAGAGTGACTTCCCTTGAGAAATACATATTATTAATATATAATAGTAGCAACCACTTACTTTGAATGGTTTACCACTTTCAAATGGGAAAACCGACTGTCTTTCCTCCTTTCCCCATGTATTATCCAGCTTTGTATTGCACACAATGACTTTCCTGTTGTTTTCATTGAAACGTGGGTTAAAGTGGAAGGCAACATCATTCCCTCTCTTGAAGTCTAAAGCAATTCTGTTTTAAACCAAAGACCAGAGTTATTAAAATGATCAAAATTGCATTTTTTTTAATCAAGTGAAGAGCATATAAGTTTCTAAAAAGCCAATTATTTCATAATACATAGGAAATTTTTCTGAATAGAAGCAAACAAACCAGAGAATGGGTTCAAACTAGGAAGTACACTAATCCCCAAATTTATTTACTGTCAAAATCTTAAAGTCAGCAAGGCATGTGTGTGTGCGCATGCGCGCACGCGTACATATTACCTTAGTGTCCTTGGTCCCATATTCCCATTCAGCTGTAATCCCCTCCTTACAGACTCATTCATGAAAACCCTTCAGGGTTTCCTTATACAGGTTTAGAACCACTTTGAAAACACTATGCCTGAACAGATAGTATTGGTTCTCTCTTACTTGCCCTGCCAGGTTGCTTCTCATACTTGTTAAAGGCAAGTCAGCGAAAATACCTGGCTTCCTTGTGGTTAGTCAGAAACCTACTTCCTCTAAAACAGCAAGAATGATATACTGTAGTTGCTAAATTGTAAAGCTATGACAAAAAACAATGTTGCATACTCCATGATGAAAAGTGGAACTAATGAAAGTGCTAGTTGAACTTTTTGACTCTTTTTCTTCTTAGATGGTAATGCAAATACAAATTTCTTTATTAAAAGATCAAGCCTACTCCTGAGTTTTTCAAGGTTTTTCCATAGAGCATCAGGAATCAGCTGGTGTTTTTAAATAAGGTTTGTGCTCTAGATTGATGGATTCTCTGGGAATTTTGAATCCCTCAGCCAGTCACATTCAACCACAATTTACAATATTAAACTCACAAGGGAAAATGGCAATAGAATTTGTATTTGACTAAATATTCAATGGCTCTGTTTTCAGTGAAAAGGAAGATACTGTCAACTCTGTCAAGCACTTTTTTTTCATGTAGTTCCTCACAGAATTTGCAGTACCAAGCTGCAATTTTTTTTTTCATTTACTGCCATTAACCATTTTAATCAGAATCAGTTTTGATCAACCATGGTCTCAGTATACATCTCTAGTATTACTGCAACTAAACTTCCCATTGCAATGACGAACTGAGGCAAGGATACTGTGTGGTTCTCTGGAGGAGGAAAACAGATACCAACAAATCATGGGTATCACATGCACAGGATAAGGTGTGCTAGACTCTGTTACCTTGGGAAGCAACATGTATAAGGACATAGGCATACAGTAATTTACTGCCAAACAAGTTTCTTTGTGTGAGGAAAGGTTGACCTTAGAGATGCTATCTAGGTGTGTAAAAAGAAAGATTGGCTTAGGGTAGATACTTCCATGCAGAACCAGAGGAGGCTGGCTGGAGGAAAACACCAGGGGGCTATGTGAATGTAAAATTATCCAATTAGAACATGTGCTCATCTGGTGACAGGATGTGGCTTTCATTGATTCCCCAGCAATAAACTGACAGATAACTCAGGTTATTTATGGATAAATAAATGATCTTCTTGAAGAAGCCTGTGACATGATTTGAATGAATACCTTTTGTGTACTGCCTATAAGACTCAGAGAGACAGCTCACCAATGGCTGGAGGAGCTTTAATGGCACTAACTTCAGGGACAGGTATAGGGGATGGCTTTAGGACCTTTTCAGCCTCTTCATACTGTATGTAAGTTTAACCAGCACCAGTGGTGACAACCAGGGCCAGGCAGCCATGGCAATCATAAATCAGCATGAATTTTCCTAAATTAGCTCAATAAAACCTTACTCCATCCTAGCCTACCTCAGTCAAACCAGTTCCAATGACAAAGGTTGATTTATTTTGGTGAAGTTGTCAATGGATAGAATCTTTTCAAACCTTTTAACAGTGTTTACTCAGAAGACTGAGGTTCCCAGGCTTGCCACTTATCTATAGGACATGAGCGTTGGTTTTATTTGTAAAAGAGGTAGCATTGTTACTTGTCCTACCTTCAACTGTGAAAATTAAATGATATAATGAATACCAATACACAGATTAGGGTGTGTTACCTTTACAGTGAATGACCCTGACACTTAAAAAAAAATTATTTGGGAACATATATTGAATATGAGATAATCCCATATGACAGTATAGCCAAGATCCTGAACATGTAATTTTGGAAATATTAAAATTTAGAATATATCATTCTATAATCAAAAATGAATCAACAGATAGGTCAAGCTGCCTCTTTACCTGTTTGCATTGGGCTTCACAGTACCCATAATTGTTATCAGCATGCGAGGCATGACTCCTCCTGGCAGGGGCAGGTCATAAGGCACAGTCTGGGAAAGAACAGGTATATGTGTATCAACAGTCATTTTTCTTGGGGAAAGAAAAAAATATAGCTAAAGTTCAGTCACAATTAGTATTTGTGAACAATACAGCCCCAGGTTAGGCCATCTGTTTTGACTTTCAGGCTGCCTTGCCCAGGGGCTAGAGAAATAAGCTTCCCTCTTAGAACACTCCTAGGGCTATTTCAATCCACACCTCATTCACACAGACTAATTTCTGGAAAAGCTTAAGTTCTGTCTGTGGGATGAACACTTACACAGTTCATTCCACAGATGTGTATTCTCCATCCATGTTCAAGATGCCATGAATATCCCTGAACTCAATCTGTGGCCTCTTCTCTTTCCCTTTATAACATTTTCCCCTGGGTTCAACTACCACATGAAGCTTTCATCTCTAGCCTGATCTTCACTAGCCCTGCATTTCCTCCTACCTGGCATTGCTACTAGAGCCTCAAGTCCAGCAAGTATGAACCAAAAGTGTCTCCCCTGCCTTCTCCCATCCATCAGTTTCTCTTCCTGAGTTCCCAGTTGGGGCTAAAGCTTTGCTGATGTTCTAGTTGTCCAGCCTTGAAAGCCAGAGTCCTGACTCCTAAGACTTAATAGGTCCTGGAAGCTCTCCTCTGCATTCTCTCATATATGCCTGTCTCCACAGCCTTCAAGTCTCCTCCTGCCTGCTCTTGACTGACCCTGTGCCAGGCACTGCCCGGTACTACCCACTGTCCCCCATCTTCTCTGAGCTTTCCTCCAAACTGTTCCAGAAGAAGATGGTGCTGCCTTGAGCCATCTTCTCCAAAGTCATGAAATGGTCACATCCAACACTGTTGGATAGCTCTTTCTTCATCTTTAGATCTTCTCTTTCAACTAGACTATCAATTTGCAAGGGAAATATCCATGACTGAGTGTACCTGGATTCCCTGAGTTATGTATTCATTTGGAACTCACTTGTTAAAATGTATTTTAATCTGCATGAAAATTCAAACCTTATATCAGAATTATCTTTAAGAGGTTTTTCAAAATCAGATTACCTTGGTTCCCCTACATGTTCCTTCAGTGTCCCTGGGCAAATTATATAACTTTTCCTTTGCCCCATTTCGTCATGCATAAAATGGGGGTAATAACAGTATGGTATGGGGTGGTTTTGGGGTTAAATAATATAGATGCATACTAATGGCATGGCATTCTTTCTCTCATTACTACAATCCTAACTTGATTTATATTAAAAGCAGCTTTATAATGCCTTAAAAAGGTGTTTTATCTTCACTTTATACTAACAGTACAAAATAAATGCAATATGAACACTTGTTTTTTTCTACCAAATCAACACACACCAGTAGCTGGTTTTCAGAATGTGACTGTAAGCTGAAGGTATAAAGTTTCCCTGAGCCCTCTGCACATCAATTCCATGACAGAGTTACTCCATCTTACCAGTGGTCCAGCAGGGGTGCCATAGGGGCCAGCAGCAGGGTAGGCTCCAGGAGCACTTGGCTGTCCTGGAGGTGGGTAGGCCCCAGGCCCACCTGGTTGCCCTGGGTAGGCTCCAGGTGCCTGAGGTCCAGGATAAGGTCCAGGTGCAGTTGAGCCAGGGTAGGCACCAGGAGGTGCCTGTCCAGGATAGGGCCCCGGAGGTGTCTGCCCTGGGTAGGCTCCAGGTGGTGCCTGTCCAGGGTAGGACCCTGGAGGTGCCTGCCCGGGATAGGCCCCAGGATAAGAGGCTCCTGGGTAGCCCCCTGCTCCAGCCCCAGGCTGGTTCCCCCATGCACCAGGCCATCCTTGAGGGTTTGGGTTTCCAGACCCAGATAAGGCATCATTAAGCTGAAAAGAAAGACATAAACAATTACAAGATACAAAATATTCATGAAAACAGATTTTTCAGAAAAACAAGCATGTAATCTAAGAAGTAGAGAAATATGGGAAAGGTACAAAATTAATATCAATAAATTTTCCCCACCTCTTAATAGTTTTGAGTTCCAAAGACTAAAATTAGACATTGGGATTCTATATGTTTCTTCACTTTTTCTAGCCACCCATCATCTCAGTTTTTTGTAATTTGCTGAAGTCAGGAGGTAGCTCTCCTTGATCTACAAACACATGCTTTTTTCTTTATTTTATGTATGTATGTATGTATATGTTTACTGAAGTACTGGGGATCAAACCCAGAGCCTGGGGCACAAGAGGCAAGTATAGTATTTCTTTTTTTTTTTTTTTCATTTTAAAGAGAAGAGAAATTTTTAATATTTATTTTTTAGTTCTCGGCGGACATAACATCTTTGTATGTGGTGCTGAGGATCGAACCCGGGCTGCACGAATGCCAGGCGAGCACACTACTGCCTGAGCCACATCCCCCGCAAGTATAGTATTTCACCACTGAGCTACATCCTCTGCACCACCACCCTTTATTTATTTACTGATTGATTGATTGAGACAGGATTTTGTTAAGTTGCCAGGAATGCCTCAAACTTTTGATTCTCTTGTGTCAGTCTCTGGAGCACACACTTTTGAATCAACATGAGAAACCAATCTCAAACATGGGGATGCTCAGATTTTGGGCTACACTTCCTGCTGCTTCCAGCAGGGTGAGTGACTGTTGCAGACTCACAGGCTTCTGCCTGGCTTTCTTCCCACAAACTGCTGCTGAAAAAACAAGACTTCAGCTAACAGGCCCTCAGTGGAAACCATGTAGTCCGACAGTGAGAAGGGGAAGTCTGGTGGTAAAAATGAAACCCTACACCTATGTGAATGTGTATGAAGCTAAGAAAACTGACAAGAAGCACTTACCGAAAAACTGTCTGCCATTTTCCTGAGGAGAAAAGAGAGAGAGTGTGTGTTAATATCACTGGATTCATTAATTTCCCTAAGATTTAACTTCCTGAATACTTCATGGGCAGTTCTACTCAATCTATAGGTATATTGCCTAAGTCAACAGTGCCAAACCATAAAAACAGTAATGGGTGGGGATGCTTTCCAGCTACATTACTAAACGCTATTTACTCAAATTCAAACTTGGATCACATTAGCTTGTGTTCTGAAATCTGAGAGTAAGAGGACATACAATGCATGAGGGAAAAGGAGCAGGAAGAAAATGTTCTGCCTTTTTTCTAGGTAAATAATTTAAATAGTCATGGTTTGTCCTGAGCCTCCTTCACTCCTTCGTGCCCTCTCTCCACTACCCCTCACAAAGGGCTCAGTTGTTGGTATGACTTAAGTCCCCTTTTCTTCCCTCTGACAGCCCCACACCCTAGTGAGATCTGAAAAACAGCTCTACCTGCTGCCTGATTATTTATTCTATCACTGGAGCACATTGATGCCTGCTCCAGGTCAGGCACTGTGCAGACTCCTGTCTGGATGTTCAGATGAACAGGCCAGGATCTGTATGGCAAAGGGCCCACAGTCCACCTGGGCAGGCAGATGTAGGCAAATACAAGAGAATAAGTGATCCATGCTGTCAGGCCATATGCTGTGGGAATGCAAACCTGGGAAGCTAACTTCGGAGTAGGGAAGGGAACATAGTATTTGAACTAAGCCTTGAAGGATAGTGACATTTATTTGGAAGTGCTTTTTTCTTTTCTTTTTTCCAAGGTATGTGTATTCCGAATAAAATCTTGGGCACTATAACAAAACAATGTGGAGAAAAACATTTTGGGGGCTGGGGATGTGGCTCAAGCGGTAGCGCGCTCGCCTGGCATGCGTGCGGGCCCGGGTTTGATCCTCAGCACCACATACATACAAAGATGTTGTGTCTGCCAAAAACTAAAAACAAAATAAATAAATATTTAAAAATTCTCTTTCTCTCTCTAAAAAAAAAAAAGAAAAAGAAAAACATTTTGGAGTGGGAACTGTCAAACAAGGTTTGTCATGCTGAAAGCTGCCACAGGGCTAGAGAAAATTTACTGCTCCCTCCTGCTCCTTCCCCTGAACCAAGTCTCCAAAAGCACAAGGTGCTTCACACCTGCTCCATAGCTGCTTCCATTCTGCAGGGCAGTTGAAGGGTAGCCCAGAACCTCTGCATCCTGGGTGACTTCTTTCTAAGCTCAGGATAAACTGTGTCATAGTCAAAATTACCCAGACTTGTAAACAACTAGAATCTCTTCTTCCTTTATTTGTTTACTTGTGTTAATTACTCATTTTAAAGAAATGACATGGTCCCAAAAGGGATTCAGTAAATGACAACTACATGGTAGGTCCTAAAAATGCGTAATATTAAAATTCTCTGCAAAAAAAAAGGCATAGCTCCTCCTAGGACTTAATATATACTTCATTTACATACACAAGATGTATTTATACTACTGTTATTTATATCACTCTCAAACATTACCTTTTACTAATTTTTTTCCCATCTCTTTTACCCTGGTTATTCTCCAACTTATTTAGTTATGACCATGCCCAACTCCCATGGTGAAAAACTACCATCAGTTTGACAGGAAAATCACAGTGACTCCTAGAGCTTACTATTCCTTCCCCACCCTGTATTTCCTATTGAACTTAAACTTCTAAAGCAAAAGTGGGAAGCTCCTATGCTTGTGTGCCTTTCCCCACAAGACTGTCACAATACTGTATAGGAAACAGTGCTGCCACCACAGGAGGAACTTGAGGGAAGAGTGGTTACAGAAAAGAAAAAGAAAGCAATAAAGAAAAGAAAGCCTCTCTCATTTTGGACACTGGTAGAAAACAATCTTGAACTTCAAGGTGGGCAGAGCTTAGGATCCTTTGATCGCACACCCTTTTCCACCCATGAACAATGTACCAAAGACTCAGCAATAATTTTTATAAGCATTTGGTTTCTTTGAAATGTCCCCACTGCACAGGAACTTATGTTCAATCTCATATTACTGTCACTTCAGGTAGACATTTTGTGGCACAGTGTGATCCTGTGCATTTAGGCTATTTAGCCACATTTCTGGCTTCAATCCATAAGATGTCAGTAGCACACCACCCTACAACTTGTAATAACCCAAAGTGTCTTCAGACCTTGCCAAATATCCCTTTGGGCAAAGCCATGCCTAGCTGAGAACCACCAATCTAGACTGTCAGCATTCGAATCCCTATGTAAATGTACATACTCACATCAATAAAAACCAACCAGGGAGTTTCAGTTGCACAAATTAAAGTTTCTACTGGTATCATGTGCTTCATAGGTGCCTTATTAATATAACTCTGATCAAATTAAGATGACTGTAAAGACTGATGAAGGCCAGAAACTCAAAGGGGCCATTTCCATACTTAGCATTTATTCCACCCAAAACCTGCTCAAATCTGTTTAGTTTATTTTCCAATCTGACCAAATGCAATTTGAGGAACAAAACAGAGTTCACTGTGTTTCACATATGCCTTGTATGACAGTTTGGACTGTGTTATGACACATTCCTCTGACCCATTAGAATAATGACACTGCATTTGTGTGGGGCTTCTCAGAACGCAAAGCATTTTCCACATACCTTATCTATTTGATTCTGTAAATCTCATGAGAATTACAGGAAGAAATTAATATTCCCACTGTAAAGTAAGGAAACAGGTCCACAGAGTCAACCTGTCATTGACAGGTCAGGAACCAGAGCCCAAGTCTCCTGACTCCTAATGTAGGCTCATTCTACACTAATTCAAAACTTTGCACCTTGAAACCTTATAGCTGTTTGAAAGTATTAATGACTTCACCAAGAAATTAATTCTCTGGTCTATTCATCCAGAACTACAGAGCATGCTGAAATTCTAATTGAACTGAAAACAAGATTGTGTTTTTGTCAGAAAACTAACTGGATGACTAATTCAGCACACAGTAATATTTATTTTTATTTTTTTATTAAAATTTATTTTCCATTTCTCGGCGGACACAACATCGTTGTTTGTATGTGGTGCTGAGGATTGAACCCAGGCCACACATAGTAATATTTAATAAAAGGATGCCATTTTGCATAGTCACTGTGCTAATTATATCCACACTTTAACCAATAAGTTGTACTTTTCCAAAAACTAGTTATGCACAATTTGGATTATGCCAACTCCCAACCATTCAGATCTCTTATTTGAAAATGATTATAACTGGTATTCTTCTGAAGTCAAGATTAGTAACATCAGAACTTAGGGAGGGGGAAAAAGGATCTCTTATTACAAGTATTTTTCTTGTCTAGAAAATTTCTTTTTTTTTTTTAAAAGGGAAGAAGTTTAAAAAAAAAAGCAAAAGAACAAAAGGTTTAAAAAAATCTTCCTACTCTGCAGAAGTATAGATATGTGAACTCCATCCTGGTTCTTCTAGTCTCAGAGAATTTTGAGGTGCAGGGAAGCAGAGGCCACTTTATCAAAGATGAACAATTACAGAAATATTACCTGGATCTCCACATTTGAAATACCAACATTAAGAAGCTCAGTATAATTTTGGAATAAGAAATTTAAACATGAGTCACAATACAGACCGTTTTAATTAGCTGTTAATTGGTAGCTCTTCCCTTTAATAAAGAGTAGTTAGTCACTGCACATTACTCTTCTAGGCCCACCTAGCAATCAATCCAGTTGTCTGGGTTCCCAGGAACACTTTTAAAATTTCTCCTTGTAAGGTTCCTGTCTGCCGCTTTGGTGGCACTCAGTGAGACCTTGTCTCTAAGTAAAACACAAAATAGAGCTGGGAATGTGGCTCAGTGGTTGAGTGCCTCTGAGTTCAATGCCCAGTACACACCCAACAAAAAAATTTAAAAATTAAGGCTCCTGTCTTTAAACAAGCTGTAATGAAGTAGACTTTGGAGGTATTTCCTCAGAGCTCCCAGGTATTCCCAACTCTCCTAGAACCCACATGAGGCTGTCTACCTCCTGCCCTTGCTGAGACTGAGTGGGTAACTCTGAGATGCTGAGTTAGGAGAAAGAAGACCTGCCCTTTCCTAAGGTTTCTTTCTCATCATAGTTCCTGAGCACCAAGGAAGGTAAAGTTACTTTGTGCTTCTCAGTTACTGATTTTTTTTCCCCTTTGGAAAAGCTGGAGAGCAGTCAATGGCAAACACATGACCCTTAGTCACCAGCAAACTTGAAGCATACAGCATGCATTATCCTCTTCAGTTAGCCACTCAATTTAACGAGAAGAACCAGTTCTGGCACCAAGAGCTTGTGTCTTAAACAATCACAGGAAAGAAAAGCAAGGTTGTGGATGAGTTACTGGTAGTTTCAGGTACATAAGTACTTACAAGTCAATTGGTAGGTAAGGTCGACATTAGATTCTCAGGTTATACTTTATGAATATAGGTTTCTCTTGCAGTGACGAGTTCAAGTCTGGCTAATGAAGATTCCAAGCAATGAAGGTTCTAGGTTCAGCTTTGTGTGTAACTTAGATTTTTCTAAGCTCCAAATATTCAAAGGCCCATCATCAAACTTCTCCCCAGAATATGGATAAGTGCTCATTTCAAATGTAACCTTCCAAATTATGAATTTAGGAAATAGCTCCAATTCCCCTAAGATCAAGGAGAATGCATGACCATCCTTGGAATGAAAGATTCTACTTTAAAAGAACTTCAAATCAGTATCTAGAAAGGAGACTTAATGGCAGAAAAGTAAATCATTATTATTAAATTTTAATTTTCACAGAAACACATAGTTTCCTAACATGAAAAGTTTATTAAATTGAAGCAAGCAAGTTACAAATTTGTTAGTTGGTGAAAGTTTTTTTCATGCTCTGGGCCCACCTATGTGTTTAAATTTATCATTATCATTTTTGTTAGAGTTAACTCAACCTAACTTCCATTTCTTTCCAGGATTCTGGAAACAGACTGAGGTCCAGGTATTCTCATTATCTAGCAACCCAACTCCAAGGAGTCACTTTACAAATATTCCACAGTGTTCTGTAATAGGTATCCATGTCCTTAAGGACTGGGCTGACACATAAGTCACAGGCCTTAATTCATGTCTCCCTTACTCCCTGGCATTAAGTACCTACTCCTCAGAATGCAAGCAGTTTAAGTTTTCAGATGAGCAAATAATAATTCAGAATAAATCCTCACACATTTTACAAGCCCCCAGCTAGACTTTTGCATCCCAGAACCCAATATCTTGCCACACCCAACACATCCTCAGCACCCTTTTGAGATGATTATTGCCCATATTAGCCAGTCTGAGCAGGGATGAGTCACTTGATTTACCAAACGCTTAAAGGTTTCAGGCTTTGCTAAGTCAGGCATATATCCACTTGGGCTTTGGGACAGCATCATTTTCTGTGGGGTCAGCTTTCAAAGAGAGGCTGCAGGCCTTGCCGCTGCTGGAAGAACTCATTTGCATCCACAGCAATATCTCCTGCAGATGAAAGCTCAGCAGATGCCCCAAAGTGGCCTGGTCAGCCAAGTCAAGGGTCCCACAAGACCTACAGAGCCCCCAGGAAGGTACCTCATGCACTGGGAAGGGAGAGCTTGTTCCTAACACCAAGCTAGAAGGAGCCGTTCAGTTTGATGACCTATCGCACCCACCACTCCCTCGCGCTGGGACCTAGCGGACTGGCAGGCGGCTCCTTGTGGGTTAGGGCTTACTCTACACGCAAAGCACGGCTGGCAGAGGGTGGGATGGTAGCTTCCGCTGTGCGGCAGCGCAGAGAGTGCCCAGTGCCTGACGTCCTCACTGCCCCAGGGCTAGGTGTATGCGAGTTCAGTAGGGAGTTGCTAACTTTCCCCAGGTCTCAGACCCCGGAAGAATCAACAGTTATGGATCGGTGCCCAGAACTATGCCCACGCTCGGCTCCGGGCTGGCATAGCGCGGGCTGCCCGGCTCTCCATGATCGCCGGTCCCAACAGCCAAGCCCCGTGAGCGCTCCGAAGCCTCTGCCCTGTCGGCAGGTGCGGTCTCCCACGCCCACGCAGCTCACCCTTGCCTTGCGTCTCTCTCGCTCTCTCCGGGTGGCTCCTGGCAAAGTGGTGCGGGCGCTGGCTGCGGGGCGGTGGCTCTGCCTTCAAATACCCTTGGCCCGCCCTCCCGGGGCGGAGCAGTGCCCCGGCGCACCCCGGCCTCTCGCAGGGGATGGGAGGACCAGCCCTGCGCCCACAGGACAAACAGAGCCGCCGCTCCAGGGGCAAGGTCTTGACACCGGGAGGAGAGAGGCCGCGGGGACCCTACCTCTCTCCCTATCACCCGATTCCTAAGAGGAACATCCCTTAACTGCTGCTCTTAGTGCGTGCTGCTTTGGGAGGTTCTGCTTGCTTGTTGTAACCCTATTGATTTATTTTCCGTCCAGGCGCAGGCAGTCTCATCCCGTTTCCATTTCCTTTACCCGAAGCCTACCCCAGAAGGGCAAGGTGACTTGTGTCCTGAGGTGGGAAGGTGTGTCCCTGTCTAAAATATGGATGAGAACTCCTATGTTTCCGGCTTTGCATTCCTTTCCATTCTGAACTGTACTGAGCGTGGACACCTTTGACTGACATTCCTAAATGGTTTGGTGTTCGCTTCCTGATGCACCCTCAGCATCTGCTCAGGATGTGGTGCAAAGCAGGTTTTCAGTAATGTTTATTGAATGAATGAATGAACAAACCAATTACTTCCTTCCTAGGAAGTCTGTTTTCTCGAAGACTAGGGGAGAGTCCTGCAAAGCAGGGAACAATTAAGTAAAAAGTAGCTTTGGTAAGGGAAGGAATAGGACAAAGCTATGCTGTGTGAAAGGTTGTTTGCAAGAAAGCTGATATTTAGCTGGATAAAAACTGAGTAAGATGGTTAAGGATGTCCAAGATAGATTTTTTTTATTTATATAATAATAATAATAGCTAATATTCTTCAAGTATGCCTTGTACTATGCTTAGTGCTTTACATACCCATATGGAAGGGAGTGTTATTTTTATTCCCATTTTAAAGATGAGAAAACCTAGGCATAGAGCATTAAATATGGCCATGATCACAAATAATAGGTTAAGATGAAAGAATGCAGCTCAATTCACAATAGCTAAGCTATGGAACCAACCTGGGTGCCCTTCAACAGATAAATGGATAAAGAAAATGTGGTATATATACACAATAAAATATTACTCAGCCATAAAGAAGAATTAAATCATGGCATTTGCTGATAAATGGATGGAACTGGAGACTATCATGCTAAGTGAAAAAAGCCAATCCCAAAAAAGACAAAGGCCAAATGTTCTCTGATATGCAGATGCTCATTCACAATTGGCAGGACAGGAGGGAGAAGTGGGGAAGGGTTTAAGGGGGGAGAGTGGGGAGAAGACAGAGGGATGGGAATGGGAAACACAGTAGTATGAACCAGACATAATGTTCCTATGTTTATATATGAATACACAACTACTGTAACTCCACATCATGTAAATCACAAGAATGGGAAGTTATAGTCCATGTATGTATGATATGTCAAAATACATTCTACTGTCATGTATAACTAAAAAGAACAATTTTTAAAAAAATTTTTTTAAAGAAATAGACCTTTGGAAATGGAATATTCATTAGTCAACAGACGGCAGGGGCGCCGGGGGGACTGGAAGGGAGGAGGGAGAGAAGAAGGAAAGGGCCTGCAATGGACACTGAAATTGGGTAGATTTAGTGGAAGTTGGGATAGTCACTCAGAAATGGAAAGAATGATTGAACATAAGGTTAAATTATCTCTCAACAATTAGGAAGTTCAGTTGCTCTGTCACTCAGGAGCCATATCCTGTCTCATTGTGGGATTCTGCCTCTGGTTGATGGCACCAGTGAGAAGAGCCTCTGTGTCCTCTTGAGCTGGTGTGTTGGGAGGCTTTGGATTTTGAGCCAGAGGAGGAAGGGATTTGGTGTCAGAGAAAAGAGTAAGAACAAAGGACCAGGGAAGGGACAGCACCCCAGGGAGGGAAGATTGAGCTGTATTTGAAAAGCTCTGAGAAACTACCCACATACACCCAACACAGGGCTGCACTGGCTCTTGGCTCTTGGCAAACCTCCAGAGACAGATGGGAGGACTCCTGGCAGTGCCACTGGGCGGCTCCCTCAAGTAGGTACTGGGCATTTCCTAAGGGGACATGGCAGTCGCCACAAGTGGCAAGGACTGACAACACTGCTTTGTTAGTACCAGGGTGAGGTGCACTGAGCAGAAGAGGGACCCTGCTCACACAACAGTAGAACTGTAGGAAACCTTTAATAACCTCAGGGGGAAATAGGAGGACTGGCTGGAACTGGCCACTGGGTGATTGTGACAAAATTTTGTGACATAGTTACACATGTTCTGTGTTCTGTTTGGGGCAATGGGTTCCTGGTTCACTGAGAAAACCAAATAGAAAATGGCAATGTGATATAATCTCATTGATACAATGTGACTGAAGGAGAGTAATAAATGAAAAGTCTAAATTACAGTTTTTCAGGCTGGGGTTGTGGCTCAGCGGTAGAGCACTCAGCTAGCATCTATGAGGTGCTGGGTTTGATCCTCAGTACCACATAAAGTAAAATAATAGACCTTGTGTCCACCTATAACTAAAAAATAAATAAATAAATAAATAAATAAATAAAGTACAGTTTTTCATATGTATACAATATGTGAGAATGTGTGTGTGTGTGTGTTTGTGTGTGTGTGTGTGTTTCTGTGTATGTATTAGGTGACCTAAGCAACCTGGTAATGTTGCCTACTTGGGGTGGATCTTACAAAATTAGAGAAGAAAAAATATGTAACTTATTAAAGCTATATTGCTACTAAGGGACAATGAAAAAAGGAAGCAAACATTTTTTGATTAATTAATTTGTTTTTTATTCTGATTTATTATATATGACAGTAAATTCATTACAATTCATATTACACATGTAGAGCACAATTTTTCATATCTCTGGTTATATACAAAGTGTATTCACACTATTCATGTCTTTGTACACGTACGTAGGGTAAAAATGTCCATCTCATTCCCCATCTTTTCTACCCCCATTTCCCTCTTTTCCCCTCCCACCCCTTTGCCCTATCTAGAGTTCATCTAATCCTCCCATGCTCCCCCTCCCAACCCCACTATGAACCAGCCTCCTTATATCAGAGAAAATTCGGCATTTGTGTTTTTTTTTTTTTTGAATTGGCTAACTTCACTTAGTATTATATTCTCCAACTCTATCCACTTACTTGCAACTGCCATGGTTTTATTCTCTTTTATTGCTGAGTAATATTCCATTGTGTATATGTACCACAGTTTCTTTATCCATTTATCTACTGAAGGGCATCTAGGTTGGTTCCACAGTTTAGCTATTGTGAATTGTGCTGCTATAAACATTGATGTGGCTGTGTCCCTGTAGTAAGTTTTTAAGTACTTTGGGTATAGACCGAGGAGTGGGATAGCTGGGTCAAATGGTGGTTCCATTCTCACTTTTCCAAGGAATCGCCATACTGCTTTCCAGATTGGCTGCACCAACTTGCAGTCTCACCAGCAGTGTATGAGTGTGCCTTTTTCCCCACATCCTCACCAACACTTATTATTGTTTGTATTCTGACTGGAGTAGTTTTGATTTGCATTTCTCTAATTGCTAGAAACATTGAACATTTTTTTCATATATAGTTGTTGATTGTATATCTTCTTCTGAGAAGTGTCCAGTTCCTTTCCAGTTCCTTCGCCCATTTATTGATTGGGTTATTTGGGTTTTTTTGTTTGTTTGTTTTTTGGTGTTAAGGTTTTTGAGTGCTTTATATATCCTACAGATTAGTGCTCTATCGATGTGCTTGTGGTAAAGATTTGCTCCCATTCTGTAGGCTCTCTATTCACTTCACTGATTGTTTCTTTTGCTGAGAAGTTTTTTAGTTTGAATCCATCCCATTTATTGATTCTAGGTTTAATTATTGCGCCAGAGAAGTGTTATTAAGAAAGTTGGGGCCTAATCTCACATGATGAAGATTTGGGCCTACTTTTAGCAAACATTTTAATTTAAAATTTAACTCTGACTTTCCTTCCTATCACTCTCCTCTTTGCTCGCTCTGTTCTGTTCCTCCTACACACAAGACTCCTGCCGATCCAGCATCCTCACACTGGCAGTTCCCTATGACTCTCTCATCTCCACTGAGTCATTTCTCATTGTCACCTTCTCTGAGTCTACTCTTCTACCCTGCTGAACGTTGTAGTTCACACCTTTTC